ATTCATGAGTTGTTTATTTTATGAACCATTTTAAGAATTTCATACATTCTCCAAATTTTCAAGGCAAAAGCTAAAAGAAAGATATTGAGGATCTATGAAAATACTGAGAAGTCAATAGAAGCTATACTACGAGAATAGTATGACTCAAAACCGCTCGAGAAATTCAAGCACAAGCAACTCTATATCATTGAATTTGACGAACTAAAAGTCCAAACACATAGTGTTGGAGGTGGTGGTGCAAATGGTGGAAGTGGCTTGAAATCTATAAATTGATTTTTGACTCAAATTGAGATCGAGCTATTCTTCAAATAGAGGAATGTAATGTATGTATTGCACTTGGAGTCCTTCCCCAGCCCTATGACATTTAAAGAGATTGGTCTATTAGCAGAAGTAGAAACTACGTACAGGTCGCTAAAAAATTATAGCCTTCCAAAAAGAAACCAGCCAATCCATGGGTACACTATGAAATTACAAAGGTTGTACATGTTAACCAATATCCAACAACGAAATAGGCATAAGGAAAGAGTAATAGATCGGACCAGCCTACAAATCGAAGCAGTCCCTCGGTAACCAATTATCCATAATATCCAATAAATAATTTTTGTATTTGATAAATTTACCAAGGGCTATAATTATAGTGATCTTCCTATTCAAATACTTCGGTCATTTTCGAGCACCTCATAGTATTTTTAGGACGTCCAAAAATCCCATCATTTCTCTATGATTTCTCTTGGATTACCCCTCCCAGTGGGTTCCAATGATAAAAATCCTTTGTCGGATTGGCCTGTAAACTAACTTAGGGAAATCAATGGATTCAATTTGGTAATTCTTTCTTACTAAGAATACAAACCATTTATTTTCTTCTTATGATTCATGAATCAGATAGATGAATCCTTTGAAAGAATTTTTCAAGGAACAAGTGATATCATTCCTCACTACTAACTGATCCTCCAATCTACCCCCTCTTGATCAATATGTATGCTAAAATATTCCAATTACATTATTTTATTCATTTTTTTCATTTT